CATCCTATCCATTGGTTCGTTCTGTCTCAATCAGATAACTGGCTTATTGGTTCGAAATTTAGGTTCACTTGATCACCCCGATCTTACTCAAGCCTTATTCTCGAAAATAGCCTGGTCGGTTGACTGTAGTATGGCCCTACACTGGCATCCCAATTGGCACCGTGGTCCTTGGGCAGGTGCACGCATAGATATCGCGTCACTCAGCGACATTGAGGGGATTGAAGAATGGAAAGACGTAACCGAGGAGACCTTCCGAGATGTCTGGAAGGTAACGCTACAAGCTGAACGGTTGATTGAAGAAGACTGCAAATGTAAGCTTTGCGGTATCTATAATCAGATGCGCATAGACGACGAGTACAAAGGTGCCAGAAAAGGAGATCAAGACATCAAGAATACTCAAAGGGCACAATTCAGCAAATGGGATGAACCGCATTGTACAGAAAAACAAGAAAAAGAGCTGATCAATCTGGTAAGATCCCAGGAAACTTGCACCATTATCGACAAACTTCCGTCCAATCACCTTTGCAAGAGCCTATCGCTGTTCGAGAGGCTTCCATACGAGATTACAGACCTTATATTTTTCCACGTGCCTAGAAACTCTCTCCCGGCCTGTGCTATAGCCAGTACTCGAATGAATTCTGCAGTTTTGGTATCTCTTTATGCCACAGTAAACCTGGATTTGCCTCATCTCACTCATAGGTTTGCAGAGACTTTGATACGTCGCCCATTTCTCTGCCACTATGTGCGTGATTTGACTATCGCAGTTTCACCTCATTGGAAGTCCGTGAGGGTATTGCATGATATCCTGATACAGCTTCCATGTCTTGTTTCCCTCCACACCTTGCCAAGCTGGATCACATACGGAGATTTGCCTTATTGGGAGTATCCATTCAAACTTCAAAATATCAAGTGGGGATTGATCAAAGATAAAGCATCCCAAAAGTTTATCATGTCGCATTCCGACACCCTAAAAGAGATCAACTATATGAAACTGAACCAGGATTTCCTGTGAGTATTCATGGTAAATGTTCACCAAATACTGATACATGACTTTGACGTACCAATGGCAATATTTCTTCACAACAAAACAATAGCTTTGGAACTGGGACAACCATAGAGTATAACTCTGTCGGTATGCCAACATATCAAGATGAAGATATACTTTAACGTTTAGATTACGGCAAATAATTCAGAGATTTGGCGGGATTCAATAGGATGTGTCAGAATTCAGTGCTCCTAGACTCCAACCCAATTCTGAACAATAAAAACTGTTTCAATACATATTAGTTACCTCTCTTCAAACGATCAATACGATGGATCCATTGGCCATCTCATCTGAGGTTTGAATTTGACTTCTACTCGATCCAATCACTTGACAGTGTTATGCATTTGTGTTATGGCCTGATGAGAGTCTGATATATTGATGTGATACAGGACCAAGATGTGCCTTTTAAGTATCATTGGTGTGGCAAAGGTAGTGGCTATGTTCATGGCTGGCGGGTTTCCAGCAACGCTCAGCTTGATTCCCACTTGACCAGCCCCACCCCTGATTCACAATTTCTAAGACTTCAATGGGACAGTATTGGCAATTGATCAATATCGACAAAAGAGAAAGTCTGCCTGTATTTGGAGGAAAATGGGGCGAAAGTTATTTCCATGAAGGCCACTTGGACATCGAAGTCCTTGAAACGGACTGGGCTGGAGATCGAATCATTCTTATAGGCGACTATGCCGACGCATTTCCTCCTGGAATTCTTACCGACGAAGAAGCCAAAGAATTGGACCCAGCAGAAAGCATGAGCAGCTGCCGTCCCTTTCGAGGATTGCATTCCACAAAAAGAAGTTTTAAGATGGCACTACGTAATCTGAATTCGCGAGAGTATATTTCCGACCGCCTATTCTCTGGCAAGTCATCCTTTCCTATTTCTGGTTTTCTCTGAGCTAATAACTACATGGATGCAAATTATAGGCCACGTTAGTCTTGCTCAAGCTCTATTCGCGAAAATCTCTTGGTCAAATGATAGCAGTATGGCAGTTCCCTGGCACCCGAATTGGCACAGAGGAACCTGGGCCGGAGCACGCATAGATATAGTACGGCTCAGTGAGATTAAGGATATCGAGGAGTGGAAGGATATAACCGAGGTGACTTTCCGAGATTTTTGGAAGTTGTCGCTGGACGATAGAGTGATAGAGGACGACTGTGACTGCCAAATTTGCGACATTTATCGCCAAATGCTTACAGAGGAGAAGGAAAAGACAGGTAGAGGAGAGTCTCAAGGTGAAGAGGACGCCCAAAATCAACTACTTGATGAGCAAAGGGACTTGAGCGGCATAAAGAAATGGACGAAGGAGATGGATGTTAATGCAGGATGCCAAAAAAGTGACCAGATTACCGACAAATTTGAAAGCACGCGTTTTGAGAGGAGGCTGTCATCATTCGAACGTCTTCCATACGATGCCCTTGACATCATCTTTTCTCAGCTTCCGCGACCTTCCCTTGCTGCTTGCGCCCTCCTGAGTACTCGAGTATATTCTGCGGTCACATATGCTCTATATAAGACCGTAGACCTTCAATCTGATTGCCTTACTCGTATATTTGCGGAAACATTGCTCCACCACCCGTTTTGTGTGGCTACATACGTAGTCTGACGATCGCTATCAAGCCTCATTGGGAGTCCGTGAGAGTATTACATGAAATCCTCAAACAGCTTCCGCGCCTCGTCTCCCTCCATGTCCTACCAAGCTGGATCACCTACGGAGACTTGCCTTATTGGGAATACCCATTCAAACTCCGAAAGATTAAGTGGGGCTTGATAAAGGACGAGGGATCCCAAAAGTTTATTTCATCGCAATCTGGTACCTTGGAAGAGATAGGATATCTGAAAATAAGGTCCAGGTAAGTTCTCTTGTGGGATTTTCTGCTAAATGCTAACGTACAATTTATCACACGTCAACGAACACCTTTGTTTCCACCAAACAGTGATAAAGAGGAGGATGGCCCCGTCGTCAACGACTACAACTCCGTTGGAATGCCTACATATTGGGAGGAATGTGAAAGCGAATCTGATTCTTGATACGACACTAGTCAGAGGTACCCTTGGATCATGATATCGGCGTAATAATGATTCTATGATATCATGTACTGTAAACATTATTTTGC